CCATCTCTGCTAGGTTTGTTACTTTTAATGTCCATTCTTGAATAGTAGGCAAATCTTCCTTCTTCCAGTATTGATTACTATTCTGTCTTGACCGCATTGAAACCGGGCTAACCAAATGAGTGAAGCTCCCATCTGCACACATGCGACATGCAGGCAGCATGTGACAAACACACACACCCCTGCTCAGGTTTTTGGAAAAACCTCTAACCATGGAACGTGTTGTGGCCTGTCAGCGGCCAGCAGAGCTGGCAGCAGAGTCGGACAGTGAGGAGGATGGGGAGGAACATGGGTGAGCCCTGAAGGCTGAGGAAAACTCAGACGAGGGCTCTGCATCAGAGGCAGAGAGGGAGCTAAACAGCAGTGAGGCAGAGGAACAGCTGGAGCCTGTTCCCAGTGTGTGCATGTGCAGAGCTTCCAGAAGACAAGAACAACTAAGAAAGCAGGGTCGACTTAAAGAGTAAAGCCACACCTTTGACCCCTCCCATAGGAAACAAAAGAGGAGTGAACGGAGAGTGGGCTTTTGCAGGAAATAATATGTTCATTCGGTCAGTTCAAGAGTGGTAAATTCTGTCTGCTTAAGAGACTCTGTGCCAAGTTTGCCTTACATGGGGTTGGAAACTAGTTCTCTAGTTGGGAGTTGCTGCACTAAACAATTGGGGCGATATTACTTCCATCACTCAAATTCCAATTGCACACAGACAATATCCATTTATGTTTCAAGATAAAAGCTTTACCTGGATTTTCCAAAGCTTTTGGTTCTCCCTCTTCCAATTGCAGAATTTCATCAAGAGCAAGTTTTGCTGCATTTGATTTTGATTCCTTTTTATTTTGGCCCAATCCAGTCTTATACTGAATGCCATCAACTACAGCACAAAAAGCAAAGTAAGTTCCCAAGAGATTTCCTTCAAAATGCAAAAAGGAAAGCAAACATTTACTTCTAGTTTCATAAATTAAGATGTTTTCATCCAGTTTTAAATACGTTTTACTAATATCAAACTCTAGTCTACCTAAATTTGAGAAAAATAAAAAAATAAAGGTTATGATTCTCAAATATATTAGCACTTCTGTAATTTTCTGTCCTCGTCCAAAACGTAATCACATTGCCAATGTAACAGAATAATTGAGACACGTTTAAATATTCCAAAATAGATTGTTGACCGTTGTTTCATACCACCAAATAAACCCTTTTCCTGATAAATGGGTGAAGTTGGGATCCATTTACCAGTTTCTAGCATCATCAGATTTCTACACAAGAGAATTTTAGATTTTATCTAGGTGATAAGAGACATCGCAACAACCTAATTTAAGTCTGGCATGCAATATCATACTAAACTATTGAGAACAGCAATTGAAGAGATCTGACTTCACAATTAAGCCTATAGAACAATGTGAATATTTGACTGATAGCATTTAGATTAGCCATTACATATTTCTCAAATATACTATAACAGGATTTCTGAGTTTTGGGATCAAGATCTTTCATTTGCTTTCAGAGTGATTTCCTATAGTTTAATTCAGAAAATATGTTAACTCAGCTTAGTTAATTCAGGAGTGCCTCTATAGTAGTTGGGATCCATTTTTATTTTCTTTTGTTGGAAATTTAAAAAGTGCAGCAAGTACTTAAAGCCTCCTAAAAGCGTAAGGCACCTCTAATCTTTTCCCTATTTTTCCCCCTTCGCCATTTGTTAAGCCACTTGATTAGAAAGTGGGAGACTATGGGTTCTGGTCCTCCCTTATGCATGGGAGATGACTGGATGACTTTGGACCAATCTTTATTAACTTTAACCTCAGGTTATTGTTCTGGGGAAAAAATAGAGGAACATACAGTACCTTGAGTTCTACAAAAAAAGGCTGGATATAATAAATATGAATTACTTACTCTGGTTTGTCTGTGGATCTTATAGTTCAGGGGTGTCAAACTCACGTCGTCACATTGTCGTCATGTAACGTATCATGACTTTCCCTTTGCTAAAATGGGGGTGGGCGTGGCCAGCATGTGATGCATCAGGCCTGCAAGCTGCGAATTTGACACCACTGTTATAGATCGTATGAATCTTTGGAAAAGAACCAAAAAGGCCAAAATGCCATCATGACATCAGTTAACCTCTCCTTAATGCTAGTATAAATATACAGTATACAGCCCCCAGCTGAAAAGAATTACCCACCACCAGGGTGCCAAACTTTAGTTAACTAGTTTCTTGTACCCCAGAGGAAAAACCAAAAGTCAGAGTCCTATATGCAGTTTATTTACGGCAAACCAGTTTTCTAGGCTTTTCTGATGTACACAATACATATTTCAACATCCAGCTATTAGGACAGTGCAGATAACTTACAATTAAAAAAAAATTACCTGTTGCCACAGTTTCCTTTAATTCAAGCTGTACACGCTGCATTTGTGCAAACTGATGCAAAGCTGAGACTGGATTGATCTCTCCTCGCTTGTATTTTGCAATAAATTCCTTTGGAATTTTTTTGGGGGGAAGTGAAGTAATTGGAATGATAGGCACAGTTTTAGTATATTGATAGTCATGACCTAAAGTGCAGTGGTAAAAAGCACAAAAAAAAAATGTGAATCACAGCATTTACTTGATCTGAAACATAGTAATCTTTCATTATTTATATTTGTTCTCTTCCAAAAATTCTTCTTTAGAGTCTATTTACAAATGAGACCCTCCCTGCATTTATTCCATTTTATTCTTGATCTGCCCCTTTAAAGAACCTGTACAGCAGTGGTTCTCAACCCGTGGGTCGGGATCCCTTATGGAGTCAAACGACCCTTTCACAGGGGTTGCCTAAGACACATATTTTGATGGTCTTAGGAACCAAAACACCAATTTTATGGTTGGGGGTCACCACAACATGAGGAACTGTATTAAAGGGTCGCGGCATTGGGAAGGTTGAGAACCACTGCTGTACAGGGAAGGATAGAACTTTTAAGTTATTTTTAAAATACCAGTATAAGTTTATCAAGATAAATACTATATGAGAAAATCAATAACTAATAAAAACAATTATATAATTATATATATAACATAATGAAATGCTTGGGTATTCTGAACTACAAACACATTAATATGTATTAGTGGAGCAACATCCAAGAAGAACAATTCAAACAGTTGTGCCAAAAATTTGTCTAGCTGTATCAACAGCTAATATCAGATGGATAATAATATTCAAAGTACTCTGTTAATGAATATTATGTATGCAATGTATGACGTAGAAGCAAGTGCTACCAAATCTGTCATACTAGTATACGTGTAGCCAAATTACCAACTGTACAGATTGAAAATGTAGGTCTCACAACAGGTCTTATAACTTATTATGAACAACATGAAAATTGCATTGAAAATATTAAATGTATTGTGTATCATAGCCTGGTAAGAGATCTAAATGGGAATACTGTATAAATAGTAATAAACTATGTAGTTATTGTGAAACAATTTAACAATTAATATCTTGCTAATTAAAGTTTGAAGATTCTAGGAAGAGAACCATGGAAAAGAAAATAAGCTTAATGCCAGGAAACTAGCAGTACAGCTACCATTCCTTTTCAGATTTTTTAAAAATAATACAATACAATACTGTGTAGCAGTGTACAACAAATGATTTTATATCCCAAATTACACAGCATTCAAAATCAGATTTTTAAACACAATATTGATTTTATTCAAACATTAAAACACAAATTTCAAAAACAGAAAAATACAAAAATTAAACAATGCTACACCCAAAAAAGTTCATAAACAAGACAAAACATATACATAAATTGAAAATCCCCCAGCCGAATAACTCATATATTTCAAAAATAATAACTAATCCCTCTTGTGAAGCAAGTACACAAATTTCCATAATATTGTTAACCAGACCACTTAGCCTGGCATCTATCTAATATATAAAAACATATTTAACAGATAAAACCAACAGCTGAATTAAACTTCTAAATATTCGGTTAACAATCTATTTATTGCATTTCATTCACAGAAAGTCATAGCAATCATTATCTCTGGTTCATCCAAGATCAAATATTCTCAAATGATTCTTAATAAGGCTTTTCCTTAAGACATTGAATGAGATTTTTTCTAACAATTGGATTTTATTTTGCAAAAACATAAGTCTCTGTTGTGGGTATCTCCACAGCATTTGTTGTACAAAAAAAGTCTCCTATAAATTGTAAAATAATATAACATTTATTTTCCTATTGGATGTAGTAAATCAATTCCAATCAATTCTAAAGAAACCAGATTCTTTATATTGATCTGTTTTATATCTAATGACAAGTAACATTCAATTTTCTTGTCCATGGAAATTCTGTCATCCAAAGGTGCTATTTTTTCCCCCAAAAATTTGACTGGACTTTATTTTTTTTCCTTTGAAAACTTCCATTTCTCATCCAAGTAGCTTCTTCAGTTTTCAAAGGAAAAAAACAAGGAAGTTCAGGTGCCTTTTGAAAAAAAAAAGAAGCAATTTTGGGATATTAGTGTCCATCAAAAAACATAGAGATAGGGCAAATGCTCCTGACATATATTTTAGGAACACCTGCCAAAAGCACCAAAACCTGGTTCAATGACCGTGGGATTACTGTGCTTGATTGGCCAGCAAACTCGCCTGACCTGAACCCCATAGAGAATCTATGGGGCATTGCCAAGAGAAAGATGAGAGACATGGGACCGAACAATGCAGAAGAGCTGAAGGCCTCTATTGAAGCATCCTGGTCTTCAGCTCAGCAGTGCCACAGGCTGGTAGCTTCCATGCCACGCCACATTGAAGCAGTAATTGCTGCAAAAGGGACCCAAACCAAGTACTGAGTACATATGCATGCATATACTTTTCAGAAGTCCGATATCGTTCTATGTACAATCCTTGCTTTATTGATAGCATGTAATATTCTAATTTTCTGAGAGGGTGGATTTGGGGTTTTCATGAGCTGTACGCCATAATCATCACAATTATGACAAATCACAGCTTGAACTATCTTGCTTTGCATGTAATGAGTCTTATCTCATATATTAGTTTCACCTTTTAAGTTGCATTACTGAAATAAATGAATTTTTGCACGATATTCTAATTTTTCGAGTTTCACCTGTACTGTCTTTCATATGGTTGGAAGTATATTGCAACAGTTGAGAATTGCCACCAGGCTCCTAAGCATTTCATCAAAAGTAGCATGTTACGAAGAAAATTTATGGTTCTCCATAGAGGTGGAGATAGCATGACAGACAAAAAGTAAAAAAAATATCCAACATATACAGTGCCAAGTAAAAAATGTCTTGCCTCAAGAGAATTGATTTCAAAAAGAAAAGCTAATCCCATCCAATGCGAGAATTTAGTCTTGCCCATGAAATCACCCTTGTGAAAAAGAGTGACTTGGAACAGGTCCAATGGTTACCTTAGCCTCAAATGGACTGTTCAGATTTGATCCGAAAGTAAAACTGGAATATCCGAATACTGACCTCAGTAAAAAGAATATAGTGGACAGTTTTCCACTACTATACTGTAGTTACATACTGCAGCTACATCTTGCTTTCCTCACTATTACCAGTGTTCTCAATCATGGTTAATTGAGGATATGTGGACTTTCAACTCCCAGCCAGTTATTTTCAATATTATTTTCAAAATTCTAGTATTTTACTCCAAATACTTTTTTTCTTTTAATGTTCTGTTCAAAGATCAAAAATGGCAATATGCTGATTTTGCTATGGTCATTATTAAATGTTGGAAAAAGAACTCTTTTTGTTAGATATTACTCTTTGAATCAGATGCTTCTGTAGAACAAGACTATCCTATTTTGCAAAAATGTTATTAGAGGAGTAAAATAATCAAGATATACTTTAAATTCAAACTGTACTTTGATGCCTGTTGTTTGGTTTGGCTAAAAGAATGGGCGAGAATAAGAGACTTGGAAGGTCATGAATTAAGATTTGGACAGCACGGTTACCCATGGTTTAATGAAGTTAAAGTAAATGTTGATTTCAGCCACCATTTTGTCAGACTTGCCATTTTGAGAGTTTGAAATAACTATAAAACAAGGTTTTCCATGAAGGTGACTCTTTGGGTTTCCCCACAGGAAGCTTTTTTAAAGAAAAAAATGGTGAAGAGGTCAAACTGGCAGACTTGTAGTAAAATAATCTTTCAATTTAGGTGTCCCTACCCTCAAATCTAAGAAGGAACTGGAATCAGGTGGCCATGTCTGCCATTGGTTTACATATCTACAATTGAAAGAAAGATTTAAAGTAGACAAAAAGAATTATGGGTTTAACTTTGTCAAATTTGAATAGGAAATTCTATTGTGTGGTAGTGATGAACATTTTGCTAAAATCTATAAAATGTTATTGAATTTAAATGTGGAAAATGAACAAGTAACGCATGGTATGAATTCAGTGGGCAAGGACCTTGAGTATAATATAATGCTTAAACAATGGGAGAATATGTGAAATAAAGGTTTAAAATATACATTAAACTATAATTTAAAAAGGAATACTTTAAATTGTAACCAAGTTAATCTATTAAGTCAAACCCACCAGGCCTCATTACACTTATACACCAGCAACTGTATTATGGTATTACCTTTAAGGATAAGAATCTACCATCCAAAGATTGGATCAGGTACATATCCATAGTTTAACCCTAGTCCTAGTTTATATGCATTTACTAACATTGTCAATAGAATGCTATAAGTAGTACCAAACTCCTAATTCCTTAATGTTGATAGGCAACATAATAGGGAAAGCCATCATTCAAAACCAATACCTGTAATAGGGGTCACCTTAGACGCCAAGTTTGATACACTGGATGTTTCTGGGATTAAAAACATCGGTTTAGCATTCTCCGTTTGCCGAAACAAACTACTGTGAGACGAAGACGGGACGGAAGGTTGGGTTGGCTGAGCAGGCAAGTTCTTCTTCAACATTTGAGCAAAACTAGGCACCCTAGTAACCTGAGCCCAGTCATTTGCCATCCTTTCTCACCTAAAACCAAGTCGAAACAACAAAGAGCGTTATTTATCAGCCGGGCATTCCGGCGTCAACAAGGCGGCCCTCGGTGCGCCAGCCAAGCAATTGGGAGAAGAATGGGCGGGGAGAGGGTGCAGTGGGGGAAATGTGCCACCCTTAGGAGACGAAGGCGGCCACTAAACCCTCAACCCACCCAACGAGCTCCAACGGAAACTCCGCCTTCGAGAGAAACTACACGAAGCTGAAAAGAAAGCGCGCAGAGCGCGGGACCGAACCTCTGGAGTTCTAGAATCTCACGCGGGAAAACGCCGTCTTCGCCGGCTTTTAAGGCTGACGACCACGTGATTAACACTTATCTTCCTCCTCCTCTTCCCCCGCCCGACGCTTTAACGTTCTTCGACGTCGGCTTGCTGCTTGGGACGCCTCTTAGAAACGAGCGTTCCCAGCCGCTGCAACAGAGCGGAGCCGATTCTGTGGAAGGGCGGTCGGAACCCGCGTCCTCCTCCTGTTCAGTTGGAAAGGAAAGGACGATTTTATCTGATCCCGTCCGTTTTTAAGAGTAAGGGTTGCCGTCCACTTTAAGAAGCTGGACGAATACGGAGAGGGAGCTTCTGAAACGGGAGAGTCTTTATCCCGAGGCGGAATTAGCGGGGAAAAGCTACACCTGCGGGATCTAGCGCGACTTCGCTGAGTTTTACCGAGTCTGGCTGGCCCAATATATCTTTACAGCCTCCGCTATACATAATGAATATACATGTTCTTTTTTTTTACAATGACTAAATTAACGGACCAGCGAAAACGCTGCGGACGTACTATATTTAGATTTTAGTAAGGCATTCATCAAAGTAGACTACAACCTACTTTTGATAAGCTACAAGAATGAGATAGATAGCATTAATAGATGTATTTGTAAACTGATTGACAAATTGCACTTAACCAGTAAGTCCTTAATGGTACTACATCTACATGGAAGAAAATAGACAGTGGGGTACAAGAAGATACTCTTAGGCCCAGTACTTTTCAATATCTTCATAAACAATTTAGATGAGGAAACAGAAGGGGAATTCATCAAATTTTTAGATGACACTAATCTGGAAGAAATAGCCAACACTATAGGGTGTACACATACATACATATATAGTTCATACATATATTTGTCAATATTCATTTGGATCCTAAGGCTATAATCTGGGATGTCGATTATTCCTGCCATTAGTGTATGTTATTAATTTACATTGAATTTAGAAGGAATACTGCAATTCAATTTAATCTTTTGCACAGGAATCTTAAAAATGTGTGATCAAGATATTCTAAACTATTACATTTATCTATATATTATCTATTAAGTTGGTATTCTGGCGAAAGTAACAATGGGTACAATGCAAGTTTTTAAAATCTCATATATTCCCCATATATCCGTATAATATATTATTTATATATGTACCTTGTAAAAATGATCAACTAAACTGGGTTATATTGACATATTAATTTTTATTTCAAGTATAACAAACATACAACTGATGCAGAATATTGCACACAATATAGTTGTAAATATCAAACAGTTCTTTCATAGTTTTCTTCACAACATTAGTCATGCAGTGCTAGACTGAACACAAAATGGCATCATCTTTCAAAATAAGTTATTCATCATATTGATGAAGTTTTAAATATAGCAGCAAAAAAGCTGTTAGGTTCTTTCAGTGTAAATTGTTTTAAAATTATACAGTAACCATACCATAAAACAAATGATTTTAAAAAGTCTCTGTTTGCCATCCTAATACTAGGATTTTTAGTGATCTTCCTTGTCTTTTCCTTTCTTTTCTTTTTCATCCTGTAATGCAGTGCCAAGTTTTTTTATGAGAACTGACAAAACTTTATCCAAGGGATCCATGACTCCACGTTGAAGCCACTTAGGAATAGTGGTTCTTGCATGATGGAAACCAAGCTTCTGAAGAATATAATCCACACCAACAGGATCAATCTTTCTTCCAGTCCAAGAGATTAACCTATAAATTAAAGCATTATATCACTTTCAATAAGCAAGAATAAATTATTTTTCTACAATTCTACGTATGTTAATATGTAGGTTCTACAGTAAGGGAATTTTATAGGTCTTGCATCTCCCTGCATCTTTCCAGGCCCTGCCTTTCCTGTCCTAGGCCTTCCCTAATTATGTCCTAACCCAAGATATTGTTCCCCACCCCCAGCCTCTTTGTCCCACTAATCTTCCTGCTACTACTCAATAGTTGGTATTTTTCTCTGATCTCTCCTCTTCCCTTCCCTCTCCCTTTACTCAAAAGTTGGTTTTATACTCTGCATGAACCAAAACATCAAAAACCTGTTTCAGTTCTGATACAGATCGATAAAAACCAACTGTTTCATGCATGGGATGGTTGGAATCCCTAATTTCCAGCTATACTATACAATCTTTTCTGGTTTTTATTTGTATATGCCAAGGAGGACTCTTGGACTGGTGTTTCTTTTTTTTTTTCCTGTCTGTGGAGATTACAACCTTTAATTCCATTTGCCAATATCTAAGGACAAAAGGATGAATACAAGCGAACTATATGATCTATTTAAAAATTATTTTGTGATTTGAAAGACATGTTTGTACCAATTTAATAAATAATACTGCTGCTTTTGGGGAAAATAAGCATTTTAGCTTGAGTTTTCTAAAAACACCAGGTTGCACTCTTACATAGTTCTAAGACATAAGCTTTGTAGTAGTAATACTGAACTTTATAAAATGGGGGGGGGGGAGAGACCTAAATCAAATGAACAAATAGTGTAAAGGTTTTTCTATTGCTATTCTCTCATTTTAAGGCATGGGTGTCCAATCTTTTGGCTTGCCTGGGCCGCACTGAGTTAAGAGGAATTGTCTTGGGCTGCATATAAAATATAGTTAATGTATATAGATCATAATAATGTTAAAAGTTTATGAGCCTGTGGGGTTGCAGTGCCACATGCAGTCTGTTTTAGGGGAAGGAGGACATTGATGGCTGCACTTATGGTTTTGGGTTTGAAAGTGTAAATGCTAGAAAACAACGAGTCATAAACAATGCCACTGTAGCTTTTTATTTTTCTAGAAAAAATATGATACAGCACAAAAACCTGTGATAAGTATAGAAATATAATTTTTGCTATGATGATTAAGAAATTGGGTTTGGTTGGAGGAGATCCAGGTTATTCCCACAGAATCATGGCACTTTCTAAGTGACATTGGGCCAATCATTATTTCTCAATTTGTTTCATGTGATAGATATTTGCAAGAATAAAACATTGCCTCTAACTTTTAAAGATAGTATATAAATAAAAATTCAAAACTAAATAAATAAAAAGATAAGTGGCAAAACGCCACTACAGTGATTATGGTTAATGTTAATTACTAATATATAAAATATACAATATATAAATATTAAATAATACTAATATTTAATATGTTCAGTGATATATATTATATAACTATTAATAAAAAAATATTAGTATAAATTTTCTTTTCTATGCCTTTTTGTAAATAGTTCCTAGCTATGTGTAAAACTAGCCATTAGAGTTGCCTACAGAGTTAGACTTGTTATTTAGTATTACTGTGTAGTAATAAGTAGCAGAATAATTATCTGAAAATCAGATTGATTATTGAAAACAAATGCTAATTACCTCAATGTGGGCTCCAAATGCCAAGTATTACAGATAAATTCTCTCCAATCCACAGTTGTATAAGTAACATTTTGTTCCAATTCTTTTTCAGTAGTGCTCTCATCAAGTACACTGATGGGGCTTTTTTGTCCTGGCCGACTAAACAGAGCACGAGGTGGAAAGACTGCTAGAAAAAGAACAGAAATGTTTCTGTCTTAGGCTATAATCTTCATTTTGGTCATAGACAAGTATAAAATATGTAAGTTGCAACCATTCCAGAAATAAGAATTTAAACTTTGTAGCACATTTAATATAACAAAATTATACTGATTGGTCAGAAACAACTGTTGACTTGCTTACTGAGACTTAACTATTAGAATTGCACATATTACTGATACCAAAAATATAAAGGATATAGTGATATTGACAATAACCACCATAAAATAAGTGAAATAAAACAAAGCTAAAAATTATCAGCAAATCAAGCCATTTGGTTTATATTGTCATGTTTTCATAACTTTCATGACATAAGAAATTCATTAGTGCCATAAATTACTTAATACTTACATACTATACTAAAGTCTAGAGTTGTTAATGTAGTATAGTATTGGAAAAGGTTTCAAAATAAAAAATGAGTTTTATTCAAGTAATTAGTTCTATTTCAAAAAAATTAATATGTGCATAGTTCTCAAGTGACAACCACTTATTTAACAATCATTCAAAGTTATGATGGCACTGAATAAGAGGGACCGATGATTGGTCTCAAAGGTGCAGCTGTTGTAGCACCTCTACAGCTGTGATTGTGAACCAGGTGCTCGATTCCAGCTCGTGATTATAATGTCACTGTAAACCAGCACCTTACAGCACCTGTCCATGCTCCAGAATACATGCCTGCAGCACCTGGTGTGCTTACTTTGGTCTCCCACCTTCTCTTGCTTAATAACCTGCACAATCCTGGGGTTCTGACAACAACCAGGACTGCAGGATTGCTATCTCTAAGATTGCAGTCACGACCAGCTTAATGACCACACAGCGTAGCAAAGAAATTGTGGTCACAATTAACAATGTAACCTATTGATTACCTGTATAAAAATTGTATATCAAATGCTATAAGGAAGAGAACTATTAGATGCCACTACTAGATCGTGCAAATAATACACCTTTGCCAATAGTAAAGATGCATTCTGTGAAGCTGTAAACTAGCACAAGTAATACTTAAGTTTCAGTCAGTTACTTTAAAGCCCTCCACAAGCCTTCTAGACATGTATGCCCATATGAAAGCACCTCAATCAGATTAACAGCAAAGCGCTGCACCTCACGGAATGATTTGCACATTATTCCTGAAGTATATACCTTTATCATGTATTTGTGACACACATGATTTTTTTCAGAAAACTTCAATTATTTTTTTCACAAATATACTTTATAATGTATACTATATAATATGTAAGGGACGCGGTGGCTCAGTGGCTAAGATGCTGAGTTTGTCGATCAGAAAGTTTGGCAGTTCGAATCCCTAGTGTCGCGTAATGGAGTGAGCTCCCGTTACTTGTCCCAGCTTCTGCCAACCTAGCAGTTTGAAAGCGTGTAAAAATGCAAGTAGAAAAATAGAGACCACTTTTGGTGGGAAGATAACAGCGTTCCATGTGCCTTCATTGTTTAGTCATGCTCACCACATGACCACAGAGATGTCTTTGAATAGCGCTGGCTCTTCGGCTTTGAAACGGAGATGAGCACTCCCCCTAGAGTTGGGAACGACTAGCACATATGTGCGAGGAGAACCTTTACCTATATAATATGTATTATACTATAAAATAATTTGAGTACATGAGTATTTCATAGTATTAACATACTTGTAAAGGAAACCATTCAGTCTTACACTATATGACAAGATAATGTAAAAAGTGTATTTTTAAAAAGTAAGAACTGAGTAGCAGTTGGGTCTAAAACACAAAATCTCTGATACAATGAAATTAACAATACTCCTACAAATTCACAAAAGTTTTCAATGGAACATCAATTGGAAATGTGTTTAGTTATAGCATGGATGTTTTGATTTTGATTTTTCGCCCAATGTGGGGCTCAGATGTTTTGAATTTAACAAACCCTGACCTTTTATCCCGAAAAAGGGGTTCAGTAATTTTTTTTAAAAAGCTTCATTAGCTATAATCCCTTCCAGAAGATTGATATTCAATATGGCAGACAAAAAAATAGAAATAGTCAAATATTTTACTACTAAAATATATTAAAAACTCAAGATTAATGATTATACAAATTGTAAGAGCACATAAAATAATCCCACAGGATTAGTGTTAATTGATTTACATACCTTTTTCCTTTTCTTTAAGATAAGCAGAAACTAAGTCATGCAGGAACATTATTAATTCTGCATCCATAGTTACACATATGTGATCTGTGAATTCTGTTACTACACTGCATTCTACCTTTGGCTTGGCACTGGCATCTGTAATGAAATTCCATAAATCATTCAGAGAAACTGATAATTACATTAATAAATATCCCGAATAAAAAATTTTAATGAAAAAGTTTTAAAATGCAGGATAGGGAAAAGTGCTAATTCTATGTACCGTATTGATTTTTTTTCAGCATAAATTTGAAATGAAATTCCTCAGAATACTTTTGTGCGTAAAGCCTTATAATGTCTCTGACTGATGTACAATTCCTTTGTACATGCAACATGGATTCATTTAAAGCAATTCTAAAATGAAGCCCTCCAGAAGTATGTACAATCAATGAACTCTTATACGATACTATATTTGGTTTAAAGCACTTGCTATCAGATAATTTATTCCATATTTTTTTGGTACAGCAATCATAATAAAAATCAACGTTTTATAGTCACAGCTGGGAGATCAGCTATCAACTAAGGTATCCATAAATTTGTTCTACTTTGTTTTCATATTTTATATTTAAACTATTATACAATATTGGTCATGCTACATGCAACTGAAGTTAGAGGGACATTCCCTCCAGTAGACAATATTGTATTGCAGTGTTAAGAGGTTTACCTGATTCTATTTCAATTATCATTTAATAGTGATAATCAGTATGGAGTCACAATTGTCATGAGTTAAATTTGCTTCTTCATTTTTAGTTTAGTTTAGTTTAGTTTAGTTTAGTTTCCTTTATTTGTATGCCGCCCTTTTCCCTGGGGGGACTCAGGGCGGCTCACAATTCAAAAAAAGGGGGGGGGGAGACAAACAGTAGACAATACAACATGTTAAAAAAGAGCACAACAGTCACACAGTTCGGGTGGGGCTACAATCTTAACCCCAGGCCAGCCGGGACAGCCAGATCTTTAAAGCGGCGCAGAAGGACTGGAGGGTGGTGAGGGTCCGAATCTCCACGGGGAGTTCGTTCCAAAGGGTCGGAGCAGCCACCGAGAAGGCTCTCCTCCGGGTAGTTGCCAGTCTGCACTGGCTGGAAGATGGAATTCGGAGGAGGCCTAATCGATGCGATCGTATCGGTCTAGTGGAGGTAATTGGCAGTAGGCGGTCTCTCAAGTACCCAGGCCCACTACCATGAAGGGCTTTATAGGTGATAAGTAGCACCTTGAAGCGCACCCGGAGATCAACAGGTAGCCAGTGCAGCTCGCGGAGGATAGGTGTTACGTGGGTGAAGCGAGGTGCACCCACAATCGCTCGCGCGGCCACATTCTGGACTAGCTGAAGTCGCCGAATGCTCTTCAAGGGCAGCCCCATGTAGAGCACATTGCAGTATTCCAGCCTAGAGGTCACAAGGGCACGAGTGACTGTTGTGAGGGCCTCCCGGTTCAGGTAGGGACGCAACTGGTGTACCAGGCGAACCTGGGCAAATGCCCCCCTGGTCACAGCTGACAAATGATGTTCGAAGGTCAGCTGTGGGTCCAGGAGGACTCCCAAGTTGCGAACCCTGTCTGAGGGGCGTATAATTTGACCCCCCAGCCTGAGAGATGGAACACTTGGCCAATTCGCGGGAGGGAAACACAACAGCCACTCGGTCTTTTCTGGATTGAGCACAAGCTTGTTAACCCCCATCCACTCTTTAACAGCCTCCAGACCCTGGCTCATCACATCCATCGCTTCGTTGAGTTGGCACGGGGCGGACAGATACAACTGAGTATCGTCCACATATTGATGGTATTTTATTTTTAAAATAAAATTATGCTATAATTCCACTTACACAAAATACAAATAAAGTTAATCTTTTTTTTTTAAAAAAAAGAACAGGCTACCCTGTATTAAAGGTTCCTGAGGTTGTTGAACATGAATGGATTTGAAATCCAGCTGCATCCTTGGTAACGCAAATATTGTTTCAGTCTCATGATTATAACTGGAGCCACCTCTGAAGCCACTTAACAAGCTGGAGCTTTTCACCGTTGTAGTATGCTCTGGGTTGTTTGCATCAACATTTCTGAGAAGGTTTAACTCTGGAAAGAAAATATCAAACAATGTTTTTGATATAGATGCTGTTTGATGATGTTAATACTATTATTTTTATATATATCTTTCTGTAAAGTCGCATGCATCCTTTTAATATACAATTATTTCAAGATTTAAACTAAGAAAATTATGAATATTTGGGCATCTTTCCATCACATTGCATTCTTTCATACTATTAATTGGAATGGTTTTAAATTTATGCCAGTTTCCCAAATGCCCAATAAAGAGAAATTTATTTGTTCCTACCTTCATTTCGTGTAGCTGTAACATAATTGAACCATTCCTTTACACTTGCAACTCCATGTGGTGGGTTTTCATGACGTCTCCTTGTTATTTTAGTAATTGTTGCCATGGGACTTTGTAGGGCACCACATGGTTTTGTAACCATAGTATTGTGACCCAAATGGAAGTCTAATGTTTGCACAACGTATGTAGAATGTTCAGTGGATCCTAGGAAAGGTTGAACATAGCATTTTTTAAAATCTTGTATATTTTCTGAAGTCATCACTTCTATAGCCTGCCATTGTATGTACAGTCTACATATAGTGAAATTAAGAACAATATATCCCCTGTGAGAACAGTATCCTTTGTGGTCATTTATATGAGCTCAGTAAATCTCTTGATACCATGGCAAACTCTCATTTTAATGCCCATATAGAATTTTATTAAATCTAGTATGTAGGTAGGTTATAACAAAAATTAAAATGATATTTCATCAATGTTTAGTCTTTGTTATTTAAGTATTGGTTACAACTTAATATGGGAAAAGATCAAGCAAAAGGCATAAAAATGCTTGAATACCTTCTTGCCATATTTTTTGTGCTTCAGTCCAAAATGCAATATTAGGTTCTTCAAGATGAAACAGAGCCCACGATTTTGAACGAAAATTAGGTCCATGGAAACATGCCAAAGTCATGTGATTTCCATGCAAACTCATAGAGCCTCCAAACTTTCCATCTTCTGGTAAGGGAAACTGAAATAAGGATATGTGGCACCCCGACATCGCCTTTAAAACTCCTGGCCAGTGGCGATGATGTGCTGCATCTAGTACTAGAAAACGGAACACACAGACATACATAGAGGAGGATAATGACATTATGATTAACTTTAGGGATTCAAAAATTCTTCTAAAAATGATAGGCCTTAGCTACAAATAATGAACAGAAATTTCATTAACTATTTTTCATTTTTTCTAGACTTCAATGCTTGTGCTTAGGAGAGGGATGAACAAATAATCGCTCTTATTTTCATCTGTGTATAGCAACCAGGTTTTAAAACTGTCATAGAATCCACTAGTAGATACCTGACTTATGACCATTTATTTAACAACCTTTTAAAGTTACAATGGCATTGAAAAAAGTAACTTATGACTGGTTCTTGCACTTATGATAATTGTAGTATCCCCGTGGTCACATGATCAAAATCCAACCATTTGGTAACAAGTATGTATTTACAGTGTCTGCAGTATCCCAAGATCACATAATCACCATTTACATCCTTTATAGAGGGCTTCTAATAAGTAAAGTCAATGTTGGAAGCCAGGGTCTCTTAATGACCCTATTTGCTTATGTCCCCTCTATATCTGCCCTATGACTGCTCTGTACCCTGCCTTGTGAGGTGGCAACAACTGCTCTGGAGCTACTTCCCATACCTAATGAGATTTAGCCATCCCAGCAAGCACCAACAAGCGTTTGTTAAGCCCAGAAGTCTTCTCTCCCAGTTCCCTACATCAATCACCTTTTGTGCCCAGCTGCTGCAGCTGAAACAGAAGTACCTCACTGCCTTATTTAGAAGCCTATGTTCCACGGTGAATCTTTTCTATGTGTGGTTCCCCAGCCTGACCCAGTAACCCTAGCAAGCATTCATTTGTCCAGCTGCCTTTTCTCCTCAGTCTCATTTGAGTCTCCAACGCAGCCCAAATCTGCAGACTGAGCTGTCTTTAGAAAGCTGTGTTGTATTCCCAAATACATTCCAAAAAAGTGCAGTTTTCCAAAGGCTCAAGGAGCCACATTTAGAAAACATATACGGTACTGGAAAAGACGCCTCAACCATAGCAATTGGCAACACAAGGCAAAAGGTCAGCATGGGAATTGGCAAAGAAGGCTGCTGGGTGAACGAATGCTTGCTGATGCTTGCCAGAAGGGCCAGTCAGTCCCAGAGCTTCTTCTGGGGCTGCTTACTGCCCTGCAAGGCAGGGAGCAGAGCAACTAAAGAGCACAGTTGGAAGTAGGCCCTTGGGTGAGACTTGGAGCTGGGAAGGACCAAGCCTAGTGTCTCTTGAAATGGGGTTGGGTACTCATTTAACCACCCAGGATTTTTGGTTAATGACGAGTGGGGAGTGCTGTTGTTAAGACATATCTCACTTTATGACTGCATCGTTTAATAATGGAAATTCCAGTCCCAAATGTGGTCATAAGTCAAGATTTCCTTTTTTTATAACTTATTATGCTAATACAAGTATAGATTAAATATTTAGAAGTATTACGTGCTTCAAATGGCTTCTGGTTTTGGATGATATAATGACCTTTTTGTGTCTTTCTATAGTAAAATACACACATTATTATTTTTCAAAATGCTCAATTATAAATTTTTTGCTGAAATTCAGATTTTGAGGCTCAGTGTTAAGATATTTTTTTCAGATACCTCACTCTGTCTATTGTTTTCATTTTTTTTCAGATACCTCACTCTGTCTATTGTTTTGCCTATAGAATAGATCATATTTTTATTACAATACTCTTTTCTAGCCAGTCTCCAGAGTTATTTAATAGATTCTGGGAAAAAACACTGATGCTGCTAAAAAAGAAGATACTAAAAATACAATTTTATGCAGGGATTTTTTTTTCATAATGAAAAAAAAGTCATATTCTCCTGTCATCATAGTATTAGCAACAGTTAAATGTAGTCTGGGCTCAGAAATTAGGAAGGCTAGTATGTAATATTTTTGATAAAAGCTTAATGACATGAAATAAATTAATTTTATACGTACACTGCTGTGAACTTTTTTCTATATTATTAGCAACAGTTTTGGAAGGAAAGTATGGAACAGGCCCCCATGTGGACAGAGCTCGCTTGCTTGTATCAAACTGCTGAGTAAAGAATTCTTGAAGCTTCATTCCTATTTTGATGAGATCTGGTGTAGTTGATCTGGAAATCATGACTTGAAAAATATCCCATTTTAAATCACCATGGACAAATATCTCACTGGAATATAAAATTAATAATGTTTTCCATGAATTTATAAAGTTTGAAGAGAGAATAGCTAATACAAAAATATTTAGGGACAATTTGATTTAATCCGCAGATTATATACATTAGATCAAGCAAAAATCTTTACCTCTTATCAGTTATGCTGGAATCCAAAGTATTATAGAGATTAACTTTCCACTCATCCTGTAGTTTAAGGTCTGCGTTACTGAAAATGCCCATTAGAATACTAGATCCCATGTAATCCACACGAGCTTCAGTAGAGCCCATGGTAATCTGAATTTTGTGACTTGGCTGCTGGTTAGGATGTTCTGAAATATGAGCTGAAAAACATTTTTATGTCAGTTTAGTAGCAAAGGGAAACAACAAGATATTTGACTTTGGCTCCCTAACACTAGCCTCCAGTTAATATCAAAAGGCCTCCAAACTCTCTCTCTCTTTTTCTATTAGTGCACATACAAATAGTGTTGAACATGTCCAGAAAATGTTTTCAACAATTAGTGGTTACTCAATTTAAAAGTAATGAGTAAATGATAATTTTTCAATTAAAACAAATAAAATTAACTGAGGTCTTCACTATATTCACTATATAAAAAGAACTAATCACTGATAAAAAATACTTGCTAATTTTCAACTTACCCACCATCTCCAAGGCATTAACATCTATGGTACCACCAACTACTCCACCTCTAGAATCCAAATGTGATCTTCCCAATCCTACTGACATACTAATTTCGCGGTCCCTGTTACTGCCCACAGATAAACGACCCTGACTTTTCAGACCACTAGTAGTCCACCTAAAACATGCACAAAATAAGGAGAAAATATTGTTTATTTGTCCATTCACATGCAAAAATGCAAGCTGTGAAATGAATTTAACATAATAATAAGAAATGTACATGGTAGAAAGACATAATTTTCTCAATTTCATTTAGCAAAACAAGATGGGACAAATTCTCAAATTTTTTATAATAAAAATATTAATGGGTCATCTCTATATTATCAGTGAACATAGTAATATAAGAACAAAGATGGAGCATTTAGTTAGTTCTGCTAGCAATCAATGTCTTCAACAACTGATTTTCAAGGAAGTGTCTGTTCAAAGTCCTCCCAACTCAATATAACCTAATTTGAAATGAAAGCTGATGCTTCCTGAATCAAAGCATTCTTCAAATATACCTGAATGTGCATACACACACTTTTGCATGTTTAAAAAAAATGTTTGGAATATACAGAAAATTCAAATGATTAATTTAAAAGGTTTCCTTACGTGGTGTTTCCCATCACGTTGCTCATATTCATTTGTACATTTAATTGTTTCAAATTTATAGCAAATACAACCAGTGTCTCCCATGGTGTCACTTGCTGACTTCCTGCCTTATTTGATTTATTAAATGGAGTTGATGTTTTTGACAGAAGATCTAGAATAAAACACAAAGCAAATACTGTAAATGTAATGTTGCAAAGTATTACTGGAAAAAAATCAATATTAATCATCTGCAGATTTTGTTGGAAAATACCTCAGAGTAACCGAATACAAACAGAAACTTGCGTATTGATTGACTCTTAAATTCATCTTCATCTGTTTGCACACAATAGTGTTCTAGGGAGATTTTTATGTTGTGAACCTTTCAGAACTTTTTTCTCAGTGAAGACAATTTTAACATGGTAGTGAATGAGGTTTTAAACATCAGAGATTTCTATATCTAAATGTTATCTAAATGTTTTCAAGGCTGATGCTCAGAAAATATTGCTAAAATTTCTGAAGTTTGCGTTCAACTCTAATAATTAAAAAAACAAAGTTTTTTATAGCTCAATAATTATACTTTTGTTTAACTGACAGAGAACAGAACAGAACAACATTTGACCAGTTGAACTGGGACTACTGAAAATTTTCTTTTCTAAATCTTCCAAGATAAGTTTGATGAAATATACTAAATATTTTTACTATTTTTTTCTTTCCAGAAACTATTGAAATTTTAAGCTCTATTCCATCCTGTGTTGCCTGATTGATTAAATTTGCAATTCTTCAGTGGACTTCATCTATTTCAATTCTCCATACTATTCTAAGGTACAGTATTCCTCAAACCTTAGAGATGAAGTAAGAATGGGTTCTCCAAGCAGACAAACACACTTGAATAGAAGCATTCTCACATATTTGCATCTTCTTTGTGTTACACAAGTATGTGTTTAAAACGCACAAGGTATGTAAAATTAGTTTCTTCTCACTTTGTAAGACAATACAGGGAAATTTTCAACCAAACAGAATAGTTGGGACTTCGAGGTCTTCTAGTGCAGACCCCTGCTCAAGCAGAAGACCTTATACCATTTCAGACAAGTGACTGTCCAGTCTCTTCTTAAAGGCTCCAGTGATGGAGCACCCACAACTTCTGAAGGCAAGCTATTTCATTGGTTAATTGTCCTCATTGTTAGGAACCTTCTCCTTAATTCCAGGTTGCTTCTCTCCTTGATTAGTTTCCATCCATTGTTTGTTGTCCTGTCCTCTGCTGCTTTGGAAAAAATATTGACCTCCTCTTTGTGGCAGCCTCTCAAATACTGGAATACTGCTAACATGTCCCCCCACCCCCCAGTCCTTCTTTTTTCTAGACTAGCCAAACCCAAATCTTGCAAATGTTCTTCATTTGTTTTAGTTTCCAGGCTTTCAATTACCTTAGTATTTTGTGTAGAGCGGTACACTTTGTAGGGCAATACACAAGTCTATGGAAAAGAAATTAGTAATTCTGTTTTGTTTGAAGAAAAATCATAAAGCAGATTTTGGAGTAATACTGCATTCTTTTATGTTCAATGTAAGTATTCTTGTTATCATAATAATGTAGAGTCAATCCATTTCAGTGTTTTACATGGCAAATGATTACATGTTCGTGACCTTTTTTATAGATGTATGGTCAGTTGCCCATACTACACAATGGTGTGTGATTCAAAGTAGTGAAATTAAGCTTCTTTTCACCTTTCTGAGGGACTGAAGAATCTGATACACTTCTGGATCTTGAAACAGCAGGGGATTTTAGGTTATGAGACCCTGATCCACAGGCCATATTGCTATTAGCACTGTGCTCATTGAAAACATTTGGTGACTGAGCCATATGGGAAAATGAAGCAGACTGACTTGGTTGCTCCCAGGTCCTACAATATGCTTTTCTTGATGAGTCAGGTGACATGTGCTGGTTCAGCCCTTCAACAGAATCTGGGGTTCCAGGACCTGATGTTACTAGGAACACATATAACAAAATAAATGATTTGTTTAGCTTGTTATTAATTCAACACAAATCTACCAAGATTATTACAATATGCTATTCTCCAATGTCACCTAGTTATTTATTTAGAGACTAGGGGTTCTTTGTTTAAAAATAATCTAAAACCAGCTATTTTAAGGGAACCAAGGGAAAGAAATTCAAACAGTTTTTAAGCACGAACATTTTTTAATCCATTTGCTACCCAGTTTCTTATTTCATCATAGTATTTCTAACACAAAATGGAAAAATAACATGTTTTTAACATTAATCACGGTAAGACTGATTATTATGAAAAATGTCTTGCACATTCTTTTGGCTATTTACCTGGCATATTTATTGTTTGATCACCTAGAAAGAGACGTCTTGCAATACTCCTTCTGTACCATGCTCTTGGAAATGCTAGAATCTCACTCAGTCTCCTCATGTCATATTTAAAAGAAGCAGATCCTATATCACAAACAGCTGTAAAAATATTACAAAAATATGTTTATATTTGACATTTCATATTATTTTATTTATTATTGTAACATTCATCATTTATAAACCAAAACCAAGTGCTTAATAGATTATAATTAAAATAGTCAAAATTGAGATAATTAATTTAATTTAGATTGTATTCTTTAGTTTCTTTTACCATCAATCAAACTAACTGGGCTTACTATAGTTTAATTCAGCACAACATAAGAAGGGCTACAGATCCTGTAGCAGGTTATCAATGTTCGTTTGTTTATTTGATTTGTAACTTGCTGCAATCAATTTGATGCTTGATGGCTATTGTAGATTGCAAGTCTAGAGTACATTTCATTTTTCAGGAGAAACTTGTCTATATTATATATCATTTTAATCTCTTCTTTTTTTAGCATTGTAGCACCGAACTCTAGGCTCACTACAGTAATAGTCACCTCAAAAATGTTTGTGTTACTCCAATGTATTCAATACTGAAATTGCTTGCTATAAGAAGAAATGTGTCTCTCTTCCTCAGCAATTTCTGGCACAATTTTATCATCTCATTTCAAAAAAAGGATCAAGAAAAATAGAAATAGATGTTGAAAAATGACACTATATCAAAAGCTTGATTTAGTGTTATGGTGAACCAGACCTGTACATGTTTGAAATGCTTTTAAATATAATTATACAAATTTAAATTCACAGTGGTATTAGTTTGGTTTGCAAGTTCAAAAAGTGATACTTTCTCAAATGTTAGAGGTAAGGAAGGGCAATGTCAAGTAAGTAGTTGTGGTATTCATGTTTTATGAAATATTTCCTAGATGGATCTGCCTATTATTTTGGTTATGCAGGTAATCTTCACTTACTGGTGGTATTTGGGGCTGGAAACTCCATTGCTAATTGTCATAATCATAAGGCACAATGTGATGTGATCATGTTGACTTGCAATAGCAGTTCCAGCAGTCCAAGTTGCTGTTGTTAGGCAAATATTGAGCAATCATAGCATCCTGTAGTCATGTGATTGCCATTTGTGACCTCCTGCCAGCTTTTCTGTTGACTTTGTTCATTGGAATCCAGCAGAGAAGTCACAAATGGTGATCATGTGACCAAGGGACATTTTGAAATGCATAATTATGAGCCAGTTGCCAGGCACTCAAATTTTAATCCTATTGTCCCCACTATTGTTTATTATAACTTTGGAAATATTGTTGAATAAAATACGGGGCTTGGACGGTCTAAAAGGAATTAAGATTAGGCAGCAAGAATACAGAGTGCGTGCTTTTGCGGATGATTTGGTCATAATATTGGAACAACTGCAGGAATCCAGTATGGTTTTAATGAACATGATTAATCAATATGGTCAAGTGTCTGGTTTTAAAATAAACTTAGGGAAAACAAAAATATTAGCTATAAATATGAATACTAAACAAAAGGAAGAATTAGGAGGAATGTTAGGATGTGAGGTAGTCAAAAAGGTCAAATATCTTGGAGTTAATATCTTAACCTCAAATGGAGGAAACTATATAAGTATAATTATGAACCACTCTGGCATAGTTTACAGATAGAGATGAAAAAATGGGAGAAATTGCACTTATCTTTGCTGGGTAGAATAGCGGCAGTGAAAATGAACATTTTACCAAAATTTTTATTTCTTTTCCAAATGTTACCGATACTCAAAAAAGATGTGAATCTTTTAGAATGGCAGAAGGGTATCAACAAATTTGCATGGGCAGGAAGGAAGCCGAGGGTAAAGCTGAAAATAATGCAAGATG